CCCTTTCACTCTTCCAATACTGGCTCTTTTGTGGTCACAGCTAAGCTTATAGCTGGAGAGTGCTTTATCCACCAGACTAAAGTGTAGTGTGAAAAGTCATGAATTGAAAGGAAAGAAGGAACAGTGCTCATGATTTCTTTGTACTCTGTAGTTTATTGATTGACTCTGAAATAGAAGAGCTGCTTTGGGTTGGCAGTAAATGAAATCCTACCCATGCTCCTGGAATTCTTTTCAGAATTTTAAATCTCTTCTCTATATTCATAGCAGATGATGCACTTTTTGCTAGTGGTGAAGTTTCATGGTCATTTGATTGTTGCTAAACTATGAAGGTCCTAGTGCAGTTTGACAAAGACGTTATTTGACAGGAATGTCAATGTTTGTTGAAGTAGCTTTTGAGGGATGTTATTTTAGTGAGGTTTGGTATTACAGATGTAGGATTGAGTATTACAGATGTCAAATGTTCAAAATCATGAGTTGGGGCCTTTTAAGACTGACTTAAAAGTAATCATTTGGAGCTCCTTTTCTTTGCTTCCTGGTCCTTTATGTCACAGCATGTTTTAAGAAAACAATTAGGGATGGAAATGTATTTTAAGACAGTGTAAGAAAAATTGTCCTAATTCGGACTCTAGGAGTATGTAGTACAATACTCAATACTACAAGAGTTGGCAGCACTATCAGGTTGCAAAGGAAAAGCCTAGCTCTGGCCAGATGCCACACAGTGTTGGCTTCATGCAAACAGGGAGCAGTCACATAGAAGGGTCGATGTGGACCTAGAAGATCTCACCTGGCTCATCTGAATTCTGAAGTAATTCAGACATTTTAAGGCAAATTGTCAGCCCACCAGGAGGAAACACAAGGAAGAAAAGTGGAGTGCTCATGCTTTGTACGCTGAGGGGCTCTGTAACTTGTTGGCAGGTTAGAACAGTTGAGTCGGGGAACTGGCCTAGGCCAGGCGCTATCTTGGGAGAAAGGAAACTTGTTCCTGTAGAAAGACTAATATTTGGCCTTACTCTCAAGTTCCGTCAAAATGCAATATGTCAATATACTGTCTATATGCATATATAGGGACAAGGTTTGACAGGTATAGATTCCAAGTGTGCAAATCTAGCATTTCTGCAGCACCTTGGGCACATCAGCTTACCAAGAGAAAGTGCCTTCAAAGAGAAACAATTGAGGCTGGAAGAGAGATTCATAACTGTGTGAAACTCCTCTTTGTTAGCAATTAGTGTTAGCAAATTATCCATACACCGCCATTCCCCCAGTATCTAAAAGACTGTTTCAGGAACTGTGGCACACATTATCCACAAGACACCTTCATGCTGAGAGATGCTCAGATAAAGCACAAATGAACACACATGAAAGAGTAAATATAAGAATGAAGGTGTTCACAGCTGAACGTGTTTAAGGCTGTGCTGAACAGAGGACAAGATTAATGAGTATATTCATTATGTGAATAAATTTATTACAATAATAATAATATTCTGCAGCTGAAGCAAACATTAAGTGTTGTGTTTAACTCTTCATCAGAGGATTTAGCTCAGTATTTTTTGAGGGAAACTGTTGCTTGTAAAAAATAAACGCCACACGATGGCAGCATAATCCAATGAGACAAAAATTTTGGCTGCCATTGCTGGGAAACACTGCAGTTTTTAGGAGGCTGATTGTTACAGATCCACAGTACATCTGAAAATGAATCATTGGCAGCATCTGAATAGCTCTTTTGCACTGCGGAGGCTAAGTGGCACAGTGGGTTAGTACCGTAGTCTTTTTCTTCTGGAGACTCAGCCTTACATCCTGGCTTAGCCTGTAAATGAAAGCAAGTTGGGTGGTCTCATCTCAGTCCCCATTTGTGCGTATCACAAAACCACCAGGCAATTTGGCATGGCCAAGAGTTGCTGCCTGGGAGGGGAGCAGGATTCGAGTAGGAGAGGAACTGCAGGTTACAAGAAAGGTGAACCAGCAGATCTGTGAAGGGAGGTTTGTGTTGCACCTGCTTAGACTGAATGACAGTCACCATCTGTCATCAGTACTAATTTTATTCTGAATATATTTTCACCGTATTTTATTCTCTGTGCACAAAGTCCAGGTCAGATCTTTATTTTATCCTTCTTCCTATTGCTGTTCATGGGAGTGCTGCCAGTGAAAGGAGCCAGCAAGCACCACAGGATTTGACCTGTTTTTCTGTACAGTTACAATGAACAAATTCATTTAAGTTTTGTTTTGAAGAGAAGGTAACATAAATACACCTTAAGTACTTTCAGCACAGGAGATAATAGTCCAAAGGTACTCTGCACTTGGGGCAAAGCCTCAGGGTTTGGATGGTGCACAAGACGTGACCCAGGTACGTGTCAGCTGCATTGTATGGGCTTTCCATAATCTCGATTTCTCTGGAAATAGGGATGGTACTAGGGCAACACTATTGTCCCCATTTTATTGGTTGGGAACCAAAACACAGAAAGACCGAGCCACATCTAGGTTTGTGAAGGGGACCAAGAATACTATTAAGACCTGAATCTGGGTTTGTCAAGTTCTGCTGCAGTGGAGTTCTTGGAGGAGAAGCTGTAAAAATTAAGAGTAAAGCCAAAAAACAAAGTGGGGTAGATGGAGAGAGGAATATGGTACTGTAGAAAATGGGAAACTGATTGAGACACTGAAAAAAAAAAAAACAATGCAGGGATTGAACACAAGTTTAGGAGCAAGAGTACGAGTAACAACAGTGGAAAAAGATCAGGAAAGAGTTGTTTTTTATCATTTTTATCTAATGTCAGTAGCTTTTAAAAGCTCTTAAAAAGACAATAGTATAATGAAAAAAATAATCTAAGCAATCTGGAAAAGCAGAAAAATGTCTGGAGAAAGGAAGCTTTAAAGAGCAAAGAAAAAACATTAATGTAAAAATATACCACTGAAAAATGCAGTTTTGATGCAAGTACTTGTGAAGATGTGACAATTTCTGCAATTACAATTGGCGTTAAAGTGAGGAGATACTATAGAAAATTTGAAATATTTAATTTTTATGTTTTCCTAGCAAAATGGTTCAATATTTTATTTCTGAGTTACTGTTCATTTTACAGATGAGTTTATCTTAATTTAAAGTAGAGTAAAAGCAATCAGGAGTGAGATATGATGTTTCAAGAAGTGGAGAATGAAGTATTTCATTATACCTGAAAGAGACTCTTCCCTTTTTATTAAGCAATAAAAAAATTGTTTCATGATGCCCTGGAAGAATTATTCTCCCCAGTTTTTTAGTTCTCTCGCTGAAGTGAAAAATCAATTATTTGTGCAGCCCTAGTTGTGTAATGAGGCATGTTGAAGAAAAACTTTGGTTAGAGATGCAAGTGCTCCTATACTAAAGTCTGGAATTTTAGATATTTCTGGGTACCTTAGAGACATCTGAGGAGCTGAGTTGGGGGAAGAAAGGAAAGGAAAAGGCTCTCCATGCAGGATTATAGAGTCTAACTACAGCTCTTTGTTATCAGAAGGAATCTTGTTTCCTCACTGGTGTTGCATGTCTGGGTTTTCTGTTTGACAAGGAGGTGTACAAGTATTTCTCCATCTTTCAAAGTCTTTCTCCATCTTATTCCATGCTTCCAGGATAAGCTGATCTCTTTAGAATGATGACACAGAAATCCAGACAGGGAGTCATCTATCAGTTCATCTCAGATTTTTCATCCTGTTTTGGGAAATGGTTGATCACACTAGAAGCAAGTTGATCACAGCCAGCACAACTAGCACATTGTTGATCATGCTGAACGGGAGATACACTCTTCTGTACCATTTCCATTGTAACTTGATTAAACCAAGCATGTGTTAGAGAATTAGTTGGGAAAAACTGCCCCAAATTTGTCAGTAGTGCCTGCACTGGAACACTAATGTCACTTGTGCAAATTCAGTCCTTCAGAAGAGAAAACAGAAATACTTTCCTGTGCCTGTAGTTGATATTCCACATGCATGATCACTTTCCTTTATACTGGCCACATACTGTTAGAGACATAAATTCTTGCCTAAGAATGGCACAACTGTTTCGTACCCCAACTTCCAAATTATGGAATACCAGAGATCTTTATTCTGCATGGGAGCACAGAAGAGTAAGCAAGGCCACTGTACCAGCAGTATCTCCAAGTGATACACTAACCCACTTTCTTTAGTTCTTCCCATCATGATAGTAATTCTAGAAATACGAAAATACTTACCTGGATTGAGTGAATGAGTGTGTAGATACTAGAAAAAATTAGGAGAATTTATACTCATGCACTTCAGAACATCTTTGAATTTTTTTTACAAAGCTGGTTGAATTATATATTATTTTCACTCAAAATACCACAGAAAATTTCACACAAGTCATTGTCCAGTGGTTTGTTGGTGTATGTTCAGGAAGGCAGGACTTCTCCCTGCTGCCTCCATTTGCTCCAACCAACACAACTTCTCATATGCGAGTGATTCAGCTTGTATCTTTTATAGCTTCCCAGTATTTCTGACAAGACATTCACTTCCATTAGATGATATCTACTAGCTGAAGTTGTTGCTGAGTCCATCCTGACACCATCACAAATAACTTCTGTGAGAAAAACTGGATTGTCTAGGGTGGCTGTAGTGTTAAACACTGTAATATCCCAGTCAGTGGGGGTTTGGGACTGCTTAATTATGCATCCAAAATGAACTGTTGGCTTTGCAGTAGCTGAATGAATGAATATGTAAATACTTATTTTTTTAGTGTTTTGCAGATATCAATATGAATTTGTATACTTTAATTTGAATGAACTTAAGCAGGATGAACATTGGCTCTTTTAATTTTTCATGTTTTTCTTCCCCTTTACTCATTTATTTTTGATCATGAAACTGTAAGTAGGTATTTGAAGTGGGGAGGCTCTGCTGTATCAAAACCCTGCTGTATAAAATGGCCTGGAATTCCTGAAATCCCATGTTATGAGTTTGCCAGCTCTGAGTTTGTATGAAGCTTTTATTACAGAACCTTTGAAAGAAATCCTAAATCACAAAAAAGCAGTAATGTAAAACTATTTTTATTGAAAATACATCTACAAAGTAATGTTTCTCAATCCACTCTGAGTGCATAACAATGCAGAACCAGTGAGGGAAGGGAATCTTTCTATAATACCTGATTTCCATAAGAAACAAAGTTAGTATAAAAAAAGATCACATTCTTTGTGACACAATTCATTTTTCTCAGCTGATGTCATAGAAAGACAGCCACTTACATTGTCTTTGCAATGTATTTCCAAACAAAATCTTAACCAAAAATTAAATTGTTATGCCATAAATTCTACAGTTATTGTTTATACACACATTCTGAATACAGTATCTATATAAAAATATCTCTAATTACATATCAGAAAATGCCTGTCTGTATCCTAGATTTGCATTCTGTTAGCACCCCCTCCCATTTGTTTTCTTTTAGTCAGGGAATTATCTAGAGCTTTGTTGGCTTGGCTGCTCAATACTCTGTATTAAACCCTGCTCACTTCACTTGCTGCAGAGTTCCTGCTCATATTGTCTGGGTTACTCAATTGGTCAAGAGTTTTCAGTCCTAAAAAAACAGTTCAGCCTGGGAATAGCCTTCAACCAACATGCTGACATTTTCACTACAGTTACTTGTACACCATATTTATGTTCTTTTAGTGGCAGAAGTAACATACATAATGTTTTTGAGTGACAGCTGGGACATTGCAAGGGAATCCTTCATTTCCAGCATCAGATTTTTTTGGTAGGATGAGGAAGAAAGAAGACAATAGAACATTTTAATAAAAAAGATCACTCAATACTATTGTGCTTGTTGGTTAATATTTTTTCACCCACCCAACTGTAACTGCATTGTAAAATTTTCCAGTTTAACCTCTGTAATAATACAAGACAAAAAGGAAAAACCACCTGATTTGTATTTCTAGAAAAGGGCTTAATCAGGGAATAATTTTGAAATGGAAAAAAAAAAAAACAAAAGAAAAAGCCACAAGATTACAAGTACACTGTCCCTTTTTCCATTCTTTCCTTATACATTCCCTGAAAGAAATCCAAGATATTGTGTTTTAAAATCCTTTCTGTTTAAGATTTCGCCATGTTATAGTATTACTATTTTGCAATTTGTATATTTTTCCTAGTAAAAAGTAAAAAAGCACCCATTAGTTTTACTTTCTAAAGGGTTATCTTTTCCTTTTGAGATGCTACTGATAAACACACAAAGATTTAAAAATTTCACATTGAGATAGGGACCCTTCTTCTCCAGATGAAAAACTTAAATCCAGCTAATAGCTTTGTAATTTATTGCTGAGATGACCAGGCATTTGTGAGGTTCCCAATCTGAAAAACCTTCTGCTGATCCCAGGGATTCAGATTTAGAATCCAGTCCCCTTAGGATCTGAGCATCCCACCTTTCTGCACCTTCTGCAGAAGGCTGACACTGCCTTCTCGTTTTACTATTGCTCATTAAGGAGATAGTTGGCCTACCCAGGGCATGCTGTGTTTTTTTTCCAAACAGAGGTGAAGACACTTTTTCTGTCCCAGAGTCAATACAGCCTAGGGCCTTGCTCCTACAAACACACACATAGATTGTTCAATTGGGTTATGATGTCGGAATTAAGGGGGCAAATCCAGATTGGAGGTACATACATACGCAAATTTCTGCAAGTCAGTGGGAGCTGAGGCTAATGCAAAAAACTATGTCTAGACAAAATAACTTTCTCAGAAATATTTCAACTTGGCTGATAAAAGTGCTGATTTGGGGTGGTTTTTTCTTTATTTATATATCTTCCCCCTTTTTATCCTTTCAGTTAATGTACTTTTTATTGTTCTGCTAGTTTTTGAACAATGATATAACACTAGAGGAAAAAAAATCAGATAAAAGAGCAAAAGTCCTGTTAATTTACTTAACTGGATGCAGTTATCAAGTTAGAAGTATTGATTGTGTGTAGATGTTAGGAATTTTGCAATATGTATTTAAAAAAATAAAACCATTTTCAGGCTCTGTTATCTGTTTTTACTTTCCAGTTCATTAAAAAAAAAAAAAAAAAGAATAGGTTCACAGTACTGAATAACATATACACTGACTTTTGATTTTATTTACTTGACAATCCCCTTTTTTTTTGTGCTTAGTTAGCACATGTGTATCAGGACCAGTGTTGTTGTCTGTTAATTTTTTTTGTGGGAATCCAACATACACTATGATCACTGCTAATTTGAAATATGTATTCATTAATTATTTCCAGTGCTAGCATAAACGGAGAAATCAAGGAATAAGTGAACTTGGTGAATCCAGGATATGAATGGCTGGGAAAAATGTGTGTTTTTCACACTTGTAGTGTTGGACTCATGCTTTCTTTACCCTACATCTTGGTTTCACTATCTAATGGTTTCTCACTCTCATTTTCTTGTGAGATCAGTTGGTATGGTTTCTTCATTTCATTCTCCTCTATCACAGAATTACCCATTTCAGCATCCCTGTTCTTCAGCTCATGCCGTGATAAATGTTCAACAATTCCTGCTCCAATTGAGTCTCCCAAGACATTGGTGGTGGTACGGAGACGATCCCTAAAGAGAAATAGTAAGTTAGCCTTGAATGTACCACTTGTTCGTGGAAACATGCAGACTGGCTGTTAAAATGACCTTTAAATAGCTAGTAGATGATTCAGCTATTTTATGTATATTCATTTATCTGAACTGTTAATGCCATGACTTATTCTACAGAAAATAACAGATTTGAATTTGGAGTCACAAAATGTGTTAATAATATTGTCAAGAAACAGCTGTCTAATGAGTACAACAAAGGAAGCATATGGCAGATGATTCTTGGAGCCATTTCTACCATCTGGTGGTTTGGGTTTATATCCTCTAAACATGTAAGCCCATGAGAATCTACCTTGCTAGGGTAATTTCTCTCTTGACCATAACATGGTCAATAATTTAGGGTGGAATTGTGCTGAAATAATTAAAATCAAACTACAACAATTCAGCCCTCTTAGAGGGCTCCACCCAGAAGATGTAGGAGGCAGCTGGACAAGGAGTGGCTGATACTGTTACTCGATAAGCATCCACCTGTGTATGGCTGTGGTCATGTGGTTAGATAATTGTTTGAAGACATTATCTTCTGATAACAACATGGGCAACTTCTTGCAGGGATCACTTGAGAAGATTGAAGGATAAAAGCCTCTGGAAACTATAATTAATAGGCATTAGATGAAATAGAGGTCAGAGGAAACCTTCTGCTTTTGGTTTAGTGCCTGGACCTAAGTGACTTCTCCATATACCTACAGGTGTCAGTGAGTCTTCTACAGACAGATGAATGGAAAAAGTGAAGGGCGATATGTTGTGGTGGCTGGATAAGAGAATTACACAACTTTTTCATTTCTATTTCCTTGGGGTAGACATATGAACCTTTCCTAGATTAGATAGTCAGCAGGGCTGCTGAACTGGATCTGAACCAGGTCTGAGCCTGATTGATGGAAAGGTTTTCATTGCCATTCTACAAAAACCAGAATACTAAAGCAATTCTGTGCTAGCAATTACAGTGTATCTGAACGTTTCCTTAGTACCCTAAGGATCCAGGTTTCTAACACTGTTGGAGGCAAGAGGAACCATCATTAAGTAACACCCTTCACCATCTGCTCTAAGGAAATGCTTTAATCACAAGAAATTGTGATTTAACGCTTCTTTCCACTGCCTTCCACAGCAAAAGAAGTACACCATTGATTGCAGCACTGTCAGAATATTCCTAGCTATTGCACTTCTAAATATGGTCTAAGCCCTTAGTGACTCCATAAAAATACTTACAAGAACCAGTCCACTGCAATGATAAGAGTGATATCATCAGTAGGCAAACCTACTGATGTAAGCACAATGACCATGGTGACCAGTCCAGCTTGAGGAATGCCTGCAGCCCCAATACTGGCAGCTGTAGATGTGATGCTGTGCAAAGAGATGGCAAGAGTGATTAATTGACTTCCATAATAAACTCTCCTTATCATGTGACAAACATTAAAAACAGATATGAAGCAAGAAGACATTTGCTTAGTAGTAAATAAAAAGATGAGCACAGTCCCTTATCTGAACAGCTGCAGGGAAGTGTGGATCTTAATCCAAAGTATTTACACTTAACTTTATCCAGAACCCTTGAAACATGTTTTTGTGAAGTGGTAAATCCCCTACTAGATGCTGAGGGCCAGACAAAAGCATTATAGCTACATGCCCCCACCCACTGAACAAACTCACTCCACAAGCTCAAACATGTTAAAAGAAAAAATCCGAGGAGGCAATTTTGTCCTGGCAGATCAAACGCAAGAACTTTTATTCTCTATCCATCTCACTATAACTTCATGCAAGGTGAAGTATGTGTCCTCCGGCAGTTGGCGTTCTGCCATCAGAAAAGAGAAAGTTGCCAGAAACCCTGAATCATAAAGTCTGGTAACTTGATAGAAATATGCTTGTTCACACCTGGTTTAGGAAGGATTTGTTTTGTCAGGTGATTTGGCAGGGAGCAACTGTAATGCTAAAGAATGTGGAACTATTGCCTCAGAGTGTGAAGGCAGTTTTGCCTTCTGTTAATGAATGTTGAATTAAGCTGGTGGGTTTTACAGAGAAGCACTTCTGCTTGAAAATCTTTTGAATTCTCGGTTCACAATATCTGAACTTTCAGTGTTCCTGAAAGATAAATACATGTTTCTCTGTTCTACAGTGTCTCTCTTTTCCCTTGCTGACATTTCCTTCTTCTGTACATGTACCCATCACCCTCTTCTATTAAACTGTTTGAGTAACATGATGAAGTTAATGTATATCAGTTATGAATGGTACAACAACAAGTGGGTTGTTTGCTGTTCTATTTCAAACATGAAGGCTTGTGTTCTTGAAAACATACCTATCTCCTCTATCAGCTGGTGTAATAAAAGGTATTACTGCTCTACTTGTATCCTGCGACCATCAGGATTAGGAAAACACTACCTCTCCTAGCATTAGCACTGTGACACTTTTATACTACTGCTTTCTATGTGCATTATAAACTACCTGGTACTGGTTGTAAGCCTATAGCTCCCAACAGCTACATGAGTTCTTTAAGAAAATTTAGAAGTAATTAAAACCCGTTCTTGTTGACTCTACTACGTGTAGTGATAGGTGTGCCATGTTACAGTTTTTAGAAGGTTTACCTAATGAAGAATATGTGCTGGGGGGCCTCTTCTGTGCAGAAGATATAAATCATTACAGTTATTCAGCTACTGTAGCAGTTCTCGGGTTTAGCTCTAGACTCTTTTGTTTAATACCACATATAACAGCAAAAAGGAGTCATCACAAAGGTGCTTTTATTAGATGCAGGTAATAATGACTTCTGTACCTGATTGTGATAATCTGCCCAAAGTTCAGATCAAAGTTGTTAACCTGTGCAATGAAAATTGCAGCCAAAGCCTCATATAAAGCAGTTCCATCCATATTAATTGTAGCACCAACTGGGAGTACAAATCTTGTAACTCGTTTGTCCACTCCATTTATTTCTTCTAGACACTTAAATGTAACAGGTAGTGTTGCAGAACTGAAACAAAAGAAGGAAGGTAATATATGACATAAATTCTACCAAGAGGGAATTAAAAGTGTCACACATTGTGATGACAAGGGAGATTGTTCTGTCTTAATTTTTATGTGATCTACCAGAATATTTCTTTTAAAAAGGTGAAGGCTGAATTTAAACACTTCCAATGATGGACATTGTCCTAATGCTCTTGGAAAATTTTTGCAATAGTTAATTACTGTCACTCTCTATGTTGTCCCTAGCCTGAATGTGTCTATCTTCAGTATTTTGTCATGAGATTCTTCTTCTAGGCAGAGGAATCTGTTTAAAAATTCCCCCTTCTCATTTTTTATGTCATGAAGTTATGATTGAATCATCCCTAAGCACTGTTTTCCTGAAGTTATACAAATGGAGCTATTCAAGCCTTCAGGAAACAGCATGATTTCCCTTATTTATGTGCTGGCATGCTGATGGATGGTCACATTACCACTTGTGGGTTAACACCAGTAGGCACTTAAGAACCACACAGCTACTTGCTTACTTTCCCCCACAGCTTGAGTGGGACAGGCAAAGAGAAAAGAAACAGTAAAAGCAAGGAAACACAGTGGTTGAGATTAATAAAATAAAATAAAGTTTAGTAAGTGAAGAATAAATGGAAGAAGAGAGAAAGAAAACAAAACAGAACAAATGATGCAAAGGCAATCAGCCACCACCTCCCACAGGTAGGCCAGTGCCTAGCCAGTTTCCCAAGTGAAAGGCTATAGCCTCCTTAAAATCCCATCTTTTTCCTTCTTATTGCTAGGCATGATGTATATGGCATGGAATATCTCTTTGCTTAATTTGGGTCATCTGCCTGGTTGTGTGCCCTCCCAGCCTATTGTGCACCCCTCGATCACTGGAGGGGACAGGGTGAGAAACAGAGAAGGTCTTGACATTGTGCAAATACTGTTCAGCAGTAGCTAGAACATCAGTGTGTGATCAGTGTTACGACACCAGTGTTAAAACACCATACGAGCTGCTATGAAGACAGTTAACTGTCCCAGCTGGGCCCTCTACACCACTTAATCTTGTTCCCCTGCTCTACATCCAAACATGATATAAATTATAATTTCACTTAAAGACCAACCCAACTGAACATTTTGGCTTCATGTGCTTCAGGAGTGCCCATTCAGCCCATACGATGCCAAGTTCCTTTTCAGAGACACTGTCTCAGAAGGAATAAGGTAGCTATTTTATAAGAGCTGCCTGGGCTCTTTGTTCTTAAAGATGTATCTCTACATCTGATCAGACCAAAGGAAAGACGTTTCTCAAGACCCAGCAATTCAAACTTCTCTGACTCGGTGACCTCTTCATTGCTAACTACTTAACAGACTTCTATGTCTTTGAAAACTTTATCAATACTGATAAAATAAAATACTGATAAAATGTAAAGTAAAGAAGGGCTGTGGAAGATTGTGCTAGAAAAATCCCTTTGATGACAGTCAGTTTGTAGTTGAATTTTAAACAGCTTTTAAATCCACTTGCAGTATAGTGTGCTCTTTTGCATAAAACTAGGTTCTTACTGAGAATCTTAAGCAGCACCAAGCGGAACGTGTTACAAAAGCAGGAACATATCCTCTTAACACTATTACTATTACCCAGCAGAGTTGTAGTTTCATTTTATTTTCTTCTAAAGTATGTTGTCTTGCATTAGTTTTATTTTCTTCTTTTGAAAACCTTTATTAATCAAATTCCCTTTTAGGCATTCCACAGATTTGCAAGGATTGACATCAAAAGGTTAAATGTTATGTTAGTAATTGTCCCTCTCTTCCCATTAATACACTGTCATAATTTTTTCAAGTCCTCAAGAGCTTTTCAGTGAATCAAAACCTAATCATATTCTACATTAGTGGTCACAGTAGCTTCTCATTCAGATCTTCAAAATAATCTCAAACACTAGGGAGTTGAATTTAGTAATACAGAGTGTTTGACTTAAAATATCTGTCTTTAGAAGACACTTCTAAAATAATTTAAAATGAAAGGTGTTTTATGAAAGGTCATGTGGTATAGAAATATATATTCTTTTCATCATAGGTGCAAACTGTTTTTTTATTCATACGACATACCTATGACTATCAACAAAGAACAAAAGTGGCATTTTGTTGTCAGGTTGTATATCTATCACTGGCTATCACAATTTTGAGCAGTGTCAGCTGCCAGTAAGGGCTCTCAAGCTCTCTCAGAAACTCCTCTGAACTTTCCTGTTTGCTGCTTCATTTTGTTGTACATATCCCTTGCCAGCTGCATCCTCTACCAGCAAACCATTACAAACTACTTAAAAATCTCAAACACCAAGGCTAATCAAAGTCACAATGTCTCTGGCCATACAGTCTACATCACCAAACAGACTTATTTCATCTCTGTTCAGGGATTCTTATAGAAAACAGAGTTCAAGTCAATATAATGATAATAACTGTCTCTATCAGAGAGCAGCAGAACTGAAATAAAGTGCTCAAGTGAATACTTGAATACAGAGTTAACCAATTACATTTAAAAAATGTTTTTTGTCCAAAAGTTGTTTGTCCAACCAATAATGCTATTAAAAAAAAATATGGCCTTAAAATATTGTATTATACCTGGAAGATGTCCCCAAAGCTGTGACTAATGCCTGGATTAAGCCTCCAATAAATACCCAAGGGTTCTTACGAGTAATCAGGAAATAGAGAAGAGGTAGGACAATGACAGCATGAATTAGCAAACCGATGATAACTGTTACAGTATACATGGCAAGCTGACCGCCAATCACACCCATATCTTCCATCTCAACAATTTTTCCAGCAATCAAGAAGAGGATTCCAAGTGGAGCATACCTGTAAATAAGAAATCAAATCAGTATTGTACAGAACAAAGTAGAAATTCACTCCCCCATCCATACCTTTTGTGTTTATATGCAAGCATGAATGTAGGATTTTACTGTTAGGATGACTCTAAGTATTCAGAAGCAGTACAAGAATTTAACTCTTTAACAGTTTAAGATGGATTAAGTCACAGCAGGGAATGTTTCTGTTAGGCTCCATTGGATTCAGCATCTGTAAGGATTTCAAGATGTCTATAGCATGCCTTTCACACATGTAGGGAGATGAGCTCCCTTTGGAATTCGAGTGTCATTTAAAAGCTATTTTAGCCAATTATTTTATAATTCTGTTTGTGTGAACAAAGGCTCAAATGATATAGCTGTAGACTATGCCAAGTGCTCAGCCAGTTCTATTTTCTTGCCAGTGGTGTTTCCCACGTTGTTGGGTAAGGAACCCACACAGAACGCTGATAACTTCCAACGATTTCAAGCTGCTTCTGACCATGGCCCATTTTATCCAGTGAGGCACTGGAAAAATACTTCAGCATGAAGCCATCATTTTGACAGAAGCTAGCTGCATTGTTGGGCAGCAGCAAAGGTGGTATGATCTGCTTTTTCCTATTGGTAAGCATAGCTACAGATGAAGAAAGTACTAGTGCTGGGCATAAAACTAACATAATTCAGCTGCAGTTGGACTTCCAGTACAGCCTTATTTCTATAAAAGTCCACTTGTCTTTTCACACTGTTACCACAGAACAAAATTTATCCAGCATATCTCAGTTGCACTTTAAGCCATCAAATCCCTGTAGAAATTTATCAGAAGTAACAATTATCATCCACTGCTTTATCGTCTTAAGCATGCTTTTAAAGAAGGAGAAAATATTTTTGCTTTGTGTAGATGTTTCCTGACAGAATAGGATTTTAGAGCTGGAAAAATTTACTTATTTTTAGTTTTGTATCTAGTACTGCAACAAATGTGTCTGTGCTCTTGGGCAGGCTTTTGGAATTGATTTGTTTGTTTTCCATACTAAAGAAAGCAACAGGACATAATTTGTTTTCATAATTAACCTTCTACTTGACAAATAATGAATCTTCATTGTTAAAAAGACTTCATACCCAGTATCTGAGGGAAAAGGTACTGGTTTTATTTCCTACTGAACACAGTAAAGAAAGTAGGAAAATTATGTGTATGTGTAAGTAGTGCAGCTGCAATGAAGGACATATGTATACACCACACAGCTGCAGGAACCAGTTGTGTTGGAAATTAATGATAACAAGGTCTTGCTGTGTAGAAATAAGATTATGGGAGAAGGTTGTCGGTTTCCTTTAGTGAAGTCAGATTAGTATATATGGAAACTTTGATGGTGTACATGTGATTGCCATCTTCATGAAGATATAGAATGGCTCTGTATAAGTTTAGCAAGTTCTGTTTAAGACCCTGATTTTTCTCATGTCAAAAGCTAAACACACTGAAAGAGTAGGTGTGTTTGGGCAAACTAGTGACATACATAATTACAGTTCTTGGATTCATTTATGAAAAAAGATACACGGTAGTTAAGATCTTATTGTCTGACTTCCTGCCAAACACTTGCTATCTAGTGCTGGACTGTGATGAAAACGTATCATTAGTAAGTTAAAATGGAGTTTATCAAAGAGGCACTTACCACATGATTAGAGCTACCAATCTCATGATAGCCTCATTAAGGCTATCAAAGAAGTCTTTTAATGCCTGACCTTGCTCCTTCATGCTTCCAATCACCAGGCCAAAGCTTATTGAGAAAACCACCAAGCCAAGGGCATTCACTCCATTTACAGAACCTGGAACAGGAACTATTTCCTCTTTCATTCGGGTGAGGGTTTCCATTGCTTCTGACACATTGCTTATTATCGAAGCCACTGTGGATGTGTCATTGGATGGAATATCTACTTTAAACATTCTCTTTTCATAGTTAGTTTTGAACTATTAAAACAAAAATAAAAGAAAGATAGGAATTCTGTGAATTATAGCAAACAAAGGTAAAAATCACACATTAAATTATTAATTATTATTGTAGGATATCTGAATTCTTTGTGTAATATTTTGGCAAAATGTACTGTGATGAAAATCTGGCTTTCCTGAAAGCAACAAAAATCCATATTAACTTCATGAGTTAAGTCTTCACCTTTAGCTTCCAGAATTCATTTTCTCATAAATATGTCAAAAACAAAGGTACGGATTTGTCATGCTTATGAATCATGTGACAAAAATACTGATTCTTAGTTTGCATTTTTATAAATTGCTATTTTTTTCCAACAACATATTTCCAACTGTTAAATAAATAGGTCTTTTTTGGGTAGTGCTTTGGAGTTTCCTTACTTTTTCATCTTTTTGAATTAGAAAAAATTACACTGAAAGTAATTTCATACCTGTTTTTTTCTGTTGCTATGGCAAAGCCATTAGTTTTCTATGCTTTCAGTAGCAAATCACCACTTTTCTTAATTAAAAAAGGGTTCTACCTTAAATGGTTCCATTTTGGAATGGGCAAATCAATTTCAAAATCTCAATATGCTCCTAAACTTCTACCTTAAAATAGTCTTTCACCACCTAATGCTTTTCCAAAGAAAAGCGTGCACCCTGAGTATTTCTGGCTGGGCTCAAGAAGTCCTGCAGCCCTGTCCTGATTATATTCTGTTGAACACAAAGAATACTAAATATCACTAATAAAATGTTTCTAATAAAGGTCAGGACACTAAATACTCTATTAAAGCAGTGGGATGCTAGTGTCAATATTAGTCAGTAACTTCGGATTTTTATTCCTTTGGGTGTGCCAACGAAAGACAACTATTAAGTCCAGGAGCTGTAGTATTATGAGTAGTATCTGGAGACTGTTGTGTACTCCAAAAATGTGTGAGTGAAATGGAGTACTTATGAGTAAGATGGGAAACGTGAGTATCACCATTTATCAACACTGACCTAATTTTCTGTTACTTTTCACACCCGAATAGTTTTATACACTCCTTCTCTATATTTGCTGTATCCCCCTGAAGGCTTTATGTCTTTCAGGATTTTAAATAAAACTTGCTTACGGGAGATTTATGGAGAGTTTCCTGAATAAGAGGTAGCAGAACAGATCTCCATGGAGGTCAGATATTCTTGAGTTTTAAATGAAATTTGCTAAAACGTTTTAAGATTTGGGCTGTGGTTAGAGGAGACAGCTGAGCTGTTTGAACAGTAGGCTGACACAGAAAAGCCCAGTTCTACTCCCTCACCCACTCACATCCAACCCGTGATAATTTTGCCTCTGTGTCAGTTCTAGTTTGATCTCTCAGTGAGCCAGTTCTTCTTTTTAAAAAGGCAGAAAACTCCCCAAGCAAAAAAAGTGGCCATTTTGTGTAAAGGCTATGAAGGTGAATCAGCTCACTGATGAATGCCAGAGAGGAAAAACACTGAAAGGGGAACTACACAGCCAGGGAAGGAGGAATGGGATTTCCTCTTTACGTGACAGAAAGGTATTACATTGGAAATAGAAATATACCATAAATTCTCAACAAAGAGTTTTTAATTCGGTCCTAACAGGAATGTTAAAATACTGCCTAATGCTGTACATCAAAAACTTTTAGATTGGCTTGTTGTTTGTTGTTGTTTTTTTGGGTTTTTTTTTTGGTTTTTTTTTTTTTTTTCTGGGTGTACAGGTATGATAATTGTATTATGTGTATATTTTTGTTACTGTTTTCAGTGGAAAAAAAACTTAGGTAAAAATTCTTTAATGAGAATATATGAAGGATGTAATTATGCTGGATTTGTGGGCATACAGAATAGAGAAACACAAAAAGCCAAGCTGTTTAATGAGGACTGGAATGAAAGCCTAATTTCCTGCCAGATTTCCTAGTAGTTTCCTAATTTCCATAGACACATCATAACTGACTTACTCTTGATTCTCCTCCATTGCCCTCAGGTCCTTCTCTCATTCCTACCTATTTGACTAGTCAAAGCAACACATGATACATGTCAGACAGCTGTTAGATAGTGTTAGATGTGTTCTGCCTGGCTTGTTGGCTGCTGCGTGTAGGAACAGGCCACAAAATAAGTTGAAAACCACTTTTATTTCAGTGGCAACACAGTCTTGATTTGTCTGGCAATGGCAAAATAGTTTGGAATTGGCCATGGGGCCCAAAAAATTCAGGAGACTGAAAATAAGTTGGGCACCTACAGGGGAGAAAGCACAATCACAATTTAAATTTATTTATTTAAATGAAATATCTTTAAAATCCCCAGTTAGAAATAATTTCAGGTTGTAATAAGCATATTCCTTCTTTGCTGTACTGATTCTAGAATTCTATCCCAGCAGGCAGATACCTTTAATTTTTTATTAGTTAAGTCTCTTTTAGGAGTATAATAGGGATTATAGGACCTCATTTAGCAAAGTCCATTTCCATTTCAGCTATTAGACTGGTACACAGAGATGTAGATCTTATCCGTTGACTAACCCTGTTGTTCAGACATATGTATTCAGAAATGTTACGAGGAAGAATAGTCTTTCTAGAACCCCTTCCAGAGCAATAGAGAAACATTTTGTTTAGAATGAGGTTCAAAATGGGAATCTGAGCAACAATCTTGCTTTCATTTTTGCTAAATGAAGTTAAGGATAGCTCTGTGCATGTGTCTGTCTTCTTATGCCCAAAGTTGTCTGTCAAAAATCATGACAAGGTTCCTGGTGAAGCAGAAGAAGTTAAGGAAAACCAAATATGGAAAATGCAAAGGAGATATCTGCTAAGAAAAAAGTGTAGGTTGAGCTTTAAAGGCAAAATAGAAGATTGTTTCACCACCATGAAACAGATTTTCTGTGTGTGGAATGGTGAAAAAGAAAGCTGTTTATAGGAAGTGACAGGATGAAAGACCACCTTGATGATGATAGAAAATGTTAAAGATTTTGAAATAGATGAGGTAATAGCAGAGTTGACCATTACTGCTCTGCAGAGAAACTGGTGATAAGAAATAATTCTGTGAACTTTTATGATTCCTACTTTCAGGCAGATGTCTGTCTTGGTGGGAAATCAGAGTTATCAGCTGTTCATGTAGCTCAAACTGACATTTTAATATCAGACTGTGATTCTGCAGATCCTTGTTCTTTTGCAGTATTCAGTAGTGGAAGACATTAGACAAAGAAAAACTGCTCGTATAACAGACTGTAGCCTTGAGGGTCCCAGAAGAGGTGATTATGTTTTACTAGAAGTCTATACTCTTACACTGATAATTTGTGGTGGGCTAGACAATATTGCAGAACAATAGCTAGACAATATCACTGTCATTTCTGAGGATGTTTGGTGCATTTTGTCTCCAGGCAGAGGTATTTTTGCCTGGTAAGATTTTAGATCCAAAATACTCATAATTTTTTCTTAAATTCATGCAAGTGTAAAAATAATGGCATTTCTGGACTTTTGTACAACACATGGTGCCAATGAACAACTTTTAAATTAACTTTAATTAAGTGATTTCATTATGAAATAGACAGTATAATTACTTTATTGCATAATACAATGAATTAGTTGTTTACACTTTTATTATTATTTTGTATTCATTAGTGGTACAAGATACCCACAGTCATTTGACTTGAATATATTGCATGACTTTTTAAGCAGCACATGGCAGCAGCACATTCCAGTGGCTAACTTGCAGACAAGGTAATTGCGTGAGTAACTGCTCTGAAAACTCATAATTTAGTCAGTACTCTGAGATAGTATAATTAGCACTGTCTGTGCTAAATCTGTATGATGATGTAGTTTTCAGTGAATGATGGTTTTAGAAGCAAGAAGTTTGCTTAATTGCAAGCCTAAAAAAAAATGAAAAATAAGGCAGTAATATCTCATCTGCCTAATTATTTTTGTCTTTCCATCTGGACATGTGTGAAAGCATTCTAAATTGTCGGCAGAAGAGCTGATGACACAGGTTAAAACATAACTAGCCAAAATTATCATGAGAAATAGACAGCATATTTTAGTTAGCATTCATGTTTAGATGTGTGATTAACACTTCCAGTCCCCTTGATAAGGATGAATTCAGGAAAGAGTAATTGAAAATAGCTCAGAAGAAATGTAGTTACCAGATGCACCTTCGCAGTTCTTCAAGCTTTAGCTGGCATCAAATTTCACCTATTCACAACAGAATGTCCCGCCCGGAATTGTTAGACTGATTCTGTTTCTCTTGATGTCCCAATTTCACTTGTGTTTCTTTTGTCTTTTGATACATCCCCAGCACAGTGCAAAGAACAAGCAGTTAAAAAGCAGTATCTGCAGACTTCTTATGGCTGCCTAGCCCCAGGCTAAATAGCATTTTTGAATTTAGCAAAGAAAGAGAAATGAAGAGATAATGGCCAGAGCTGAAAGATAAATCCAATGATTTCTTTAGATATCCCTAAACTGGGGGTGAACATAGTGGTATAGATAAAGTTTGGAACAAAGCTATCTAGTTTTAGCTAAATGTGGAATATTTATCTTTTCAGATTCTCCTGTTACTGACAAAAATCACAAAAGATCCTTGTGATCAGTGCTTAGTGAAGGTAGCAACATATATGGTGTGTAAATAACCATCATCAGAAAGTATGCCGTTTGGATTAACAATCTGCTGTTTCCAGTGATCTCTCTGCCACTGGTTTAATTGGAGGAGATCCTGATAGAGACAGGGTGCCAACAGGACTTTGGTCTTTCACAAGGAGAGAGGGAGTAACTAGCGAAGAACAGAGTGAAGCTAAAGTACAAGCTTTTCCAGATTATTCTTCATAGTTTGACCTGCTGGGCAAGGATGGCTCTTTGTCCCTATAGACTTTCTTGGGGCACGGGGCTGAATGCCTCCAGATAAGCCTGAAATGGTTCTACTGATTCTCAGCTGAAAGGTTTGAATTAAAGATTTTCCTTAGCTTTTCTGTGGGGTCTCCTTCTATCTACAGGGACTTCATTCAGCTTCTGGGACCCACAGTGGGGGGGTCCTTTTTGGAGGGGAAGAGCCATTTTGTTTGACCACTCTTCTTGCTTCTCAGGAATAAAATGTGCAAAGAAGAAGAAGGGGGAGAAGAAGCAAGAGGAGGCAGTTTTGTTTGCCTCATAGACTTGCTGGGAAAGAAGAACAGGAAAGAGAATCAGAAGGGCCAGAAGACTGGATGAGGAACATTAGAAAATTTAGGAGGATCCTTCCTAAATAAGTCCTAAGGTCCCAGTCTTCCTTCGTGACTTTTCTTCTCCCAGAAATAATACTATGAAAGCTTTCCCAACTCCATCCAGAAGCCGTCCCTGCCTTGGCCACCCTCTCTACACAGCTCCATTTCATTTTGCAGGAGAGCAATTCCACACCCAGGAAACTAACTTCACTAACATAACATTAATTATGCAAAGGGAAGAACAATTTTTTTTTTGTCTTGGTGTTACAAAATTTGAGTAGTAGTTGATCTTTTGAGGTTAAAAACTTTGGAAATTGTAGTTGGTCCTATGTGTTAGTGGAGCTGCTTTGAGAAGTGCTTTTTATTAATGGGGAAAGTAACAGGTTTAAAGTTTGCTGTGATTACTAACACAGTCATTAGAGAACCTGTCTGCTGGTCATGGTGAGAAAGAAAGGAAAACCTTCCAGTGGGTTCCTATGCAGACTTCTTTCAGGAAAGTAACCTGTCTGAGGATGCTATAAGAGAATGTGAGCACCTAATATATCAAAAGATGTGATTTGAATGTGGAGTGCATATGCTAGTGATGGTTTCCAGGTGTGCAAAGCTTTTGAGTATGGATGAGTATGAGCTTTAGTCTGTTTCTTGTTTGGGCCAGAAAACACAGGTTACAGAATAAGATTAGTGCCAGATGGATCATCTTTCTTCATAAATTGTCTGAGAAACATACGAAAAAGCTGTGTAAACTTTTGAAAATAAAGTTTTGGAGTCACATGTATGAAATTTTCTGGATACTTATGAATCTCACTCATACTTGTTGCTCCTGTAAAATGTTTTTAGTTTAACAAATCTGCCACAACAAAACAATTTATACCTAAAAATCCAGGTTGTGGTACCTGATTGAATAGGTAATAGTATCAGTATGACAGATCTAAAACCCTGGTGCTTCAGTAAGCATAAATGCTGCTGAAAGTCAGGAAAAATTTTAATTAAACATTGCCTGCTTTTTGAAACATTTTTCAGAAATCTCTTTAAACTGTAAAGCACATGAGAAATAAAATGTACATAATGTAAACATACTCTACAAGACATCTTTAATTAAGAACATACATTTAGGACTGCTAGACACTGAGTCAAGTTTTCTTTTGCTGTAGAATTCTTTAGCAAAAGAATTTTTCAAACTGTATCTGAAAACTGATGATGCAGTTTGTTCTCATGACTCCTAAAGGAAGATTTTATCAGGACCTCACCTTTTACATAATGAAGATTTAAAACCTTACTAATTCCCACTTTAAATTCAGTCATAATGATTTCAATTTCTTCTTGTATAAACATTTTTCTTTATCTTATACAGCTCTGTTCCCACTTTGGGTTTTGTACCTAATTACTTTAAAAATCAAGCTTCTTTTTGTTTTATATGCTGTGTGCTTCTGATAATCCCACCAACTCCTCCACTGTGCTCATTTTGCATGAATCTTCCTATGAATGTAATGACTGGAATATATTCAGTGTTCCAGTCATAGAATCATAGAATCATTCAGGTTGGAAAAGACCCTTGGGATCATCGAGTCCAACCATCAGGCCTACACTACGAAGTTCTCCCCTACACCATATCACCCAGCATCTCATCTAAACGACCCTTAAATACATCCAGGGACCCTGGGCAGCCTATTCTACTCTCTAACCACTCTTTCTGTGAAAAAATTTTTCCTAATGTGCAGTCTGAACTTTGCAGTTTAAAGCCATTCCCTCTTGTTCTGTCACTAATCACCTGTGAGAAGAGACCAGCACCAAACTCTCTACTTTCAGGTACTGTAGAGAGTGATGAGGTCTCCCCTCAGCCTTCTCTTCCTCAAACTGAACAGTCCCAGCTCCTTCGAACACTCCTCATAGGATCTGTTCTCCAGGCCCCTCACCAGCCTCGTTGCCCTCCCCTGCACTTGCTCCAGCACCTCGAGATCTCTCTTGCATTGAGGTGCCCAAAACTAGACACAACCCTCCAGGTGTGGCCTCACCAGTGCAGAGCACAGGGGACTGTCACCTCCCTACTCCTGCTGGTCACACTGTTTCTGATACAAGCCAGGGTGCCATTGGCTTTCTTGGCCACCTGGGCACACTGCTGGCTTATGTTCAGCTGTTTGTCAGTTAGAACCCCCAGATCCTTTTCCTCCAGACAGCTCCAGCCACACCGCCCCGAACCTGTAGCCATGCAGGGGGTTGTTGTGGCCCAAGTGCAGGACCTGGCACTTGGCCTTGTGGAAGCTCATCGTGTTAACATTGGCCCACCAATCCAATCTATCCAAGTCATACTCCTCTAGCTTTATTTCCTCTCTTGCAGTTATGTCACCTAATATATGCTAGAGCTGAATTAGAGGATGCTTTTTTTTTTTTTTTTCCTTTCTGGTGATGACTTCCCATCTCAAAGAAGAAATTACTGTTAATTTCTAAATCTTTATTTCACATGTGATGAAGAGCTGCAAGGAGATAACCTAACATGCCAATGTCTGCAAGAGCTAATTCACTTCATTGTTGTGACTTTAAAATATTATAATGGACCAAGAACATACCAATTTCTTTGGCTTTTGTTAGAGATCTTGATACCAAGTGCTTGGACTTGTCATCTGTAAATTTCATTGCGTGCATTTTATGGCAATGTCATTCAGAAAAATATCCGTTGAGGTACACTCAGTCCTTCAGCAACTTCCACCACTATCTTCACAAATTTTACAATTCTTACAATAATCTTTCTCCCTGCTCAACTATTTAACTTCCTTTATATTAAAAACTTTATTTTACAGAATTCCAAAGAGATTAGAGTCTCTGCACTTCTGTGGTAATAAAAAAAAAAAAAAAACCAAAAACCAACAACCAAAAACCAAAAACCAACACAGAAGAAGAAAATAAGAAAATGGGCAATCTTGTGGAGGGTTATTCTGGTATAATCTATGTTTCAGAAACCTCTGTTATTATTCCCCCCCCCCCCCCCC